ATATAAGTAAAACACTGACATGATATTAGTGTTGCACGTATATTTTGTGTTAGAGTAAATTTTTGGGGTCAAATGAGATACAATATGGGTTGAAAGTAGCACCACTCAATGTGTAATTATATTTTATTTGTACACCGCCCGTCTTCTCAAGATATGTTTTTGATGTGGATAACAAGAATGAGAAATAGACGAGAAATATAAAAGTTGTGGTGTACAAATGAGAATCTTTTCCTAACATTATTCTATATGACTAAATTGTATTGGAGATAGTTGAAAAAATAAGAAAACCTAAGGGCTTTTAATGGTAGGTTTTTAAACTTGTTTAACTTAAGCACTTGTACCTTATGACAAAATCCTATTGCCCTTGTTCCATAATAATGTTTCATTTTATTTTTTACATGATCAAATTATACTTATTTTCTTTACCTATCTAAATTAATTAATTCAAAAAATAAAAATGTCATGTCACTAAATAATAATCACTCCGACTTTAGCACGCTAATGATAAATTCAGAGTAATTATTTAGTCACAACGGCAACCATAATTATTTTATTGTATAATTATCCAATTTAATGATACAAAAATATAACTCAATAATTATGTTTACCCGAAAGTCTTCAATCCCGGTTAAAGTTAGAGAAGGCTTACGATGTATTTAAAAAATGTTCTATTTTATGATTATATCAATTTTAGTTCAGATTTCTTTTAACAATGATGTTTCTGATTGGGTCCTTAATTAAAAATCACAAACATTCCAAATTTATTTATTTTTAAATACAACATCTAAATAAAAATAAAATCAACAATCCATGTTAAAAATATTTAGAACATTAAGATGTACATTTAATTACACCAACTTCTAACCCCAATGGAATTTAGAAGTTCATAGCTTGAAGTTTAAACAAATAAATATTTATTACAATCATAAAAATTTTACAAAAATGGAAGATGTGTTTTTGAATTCCAAATATAATAAATGGTGTTGATTAAGATGAAGATAGAGTGAGTTTGTGTTTAGAAGAAGAAAGTAGGGGGAAGTGGAGAGTTGCAACTTTTTAGAAGAAGAGAAGGGAGAGGTTTTTAGAGATTAATTCGTATATAAGAAGTATGGAGTATATACAAACAGGTGCACTAAATATAAACACAGGTAAAGTAGCACACATGGAAATGAAGTTACACGGGTAAAGTAGCACACATGTTTTGTCTTTTTTTTCTTCTTCACTCTTGAGCCAATTTTTTGATAATTTATTTATTAAGGGGGCCAAGTGCTTCATATTGGAATGACTGGTGAATTGGTTTGAATCACATGTTCACCTTTTGAGATTTGGAGTTCGAAACCCAGGCTTGATTTTTTAACTTTTTATTTATTTATTTATTTATTTTTTTCTTCAAATTTCTTCATTTTATTTTGATCCCAAACTTCCAAGTTTATTTTCCGTTTTTACAATCAATCTCATTGCGTCCAAATGACCTCAAAATTACATGCAAAACATATAAAACCAAACATGGGACTACTCTACTAAAATAAAACAGAAAATTAAATTAAAATGTAAATATTAAATTCAATTGGGATTCAAAACTACTTCAAAATATGCCTAAAAAGTGTATAAAATATGTGCATATCATCAGCCCATTAATATTTTAACTGTCTCCATCCAAAACATCCCCTCTATCTCATTTCCTTCCAGAAGTAGCTTTAACAAAACACCTATTGCAGTCAAAGACTACAAAGACTGCACACTCAGTTGAAAGATGAGTGAAAATATATCTAACGCTAAAATTAATTCACAGAAAGTATCACATTCACATATAATCACGCAACATCAGTGAACAAACAACAGTACGTATTGTTCAGGGTCAAGTTTTCAACATTTCTAATCTAGTTCCTCGCAAGTAGCTAGTACTAAACCTACACCATTAAGGCTCGATTAAATAGATAAATTTTAATTATTAATTTTAATCAAATTTTATATGAATTGAATTCAAAATAAACTTAAGAAAACATCATAAATCAAATCTGAAACATTATTATGGGAAGGATGAAGTATTATAGACTATGGTGCGTGGGAGGCGAGATCACGCACGATCATCGATGTGACACTAATGTGGCATCTACCACACCGCCTCCCTGAGACAGGATGTGATATCACCATGACTGTCATCCCGCAAAATTCTTCTTCTTTTGACATTTTCAACTTGGATGGGCCGACAACCACGCCCTTCCGAGATGGGCTTCTTCTTCCCACGATGATCAAGTTGATCAGGTGGAGGCAGGACGACAATGACCACACCGTAAAGTTCTAGAAAAAGTTTAAATGACATCCAAAATTACTTGCTCACAAGCATCCTTGCTTCCGCAGACTATGTACCTTAGACACACTTAAAAAAAGTAGCCAAAAAACTTTAACATTGAAAAATACTTTTTTAATGATATAAGAAAGCTGCAAAGTCCAACCCCTTTGGGAGACTCGACCTTGATATGGTTCTGATTTCAAACTTGTGCCGGAACTATTATTCTAACTAATAGGGGTGCTGTGGGGTAGGGGTTAGCCAGTGACGGGGCAGGGTGGGAGAATGGCTACCAGAACCAACCGGTATTGCGACCGATCTGGTTCCGGAACTAGTTGTTTTATTTTTTTATCGGTGAGCATGATAGGGTATGGTACATCATTAATCTCATACTGATATCATATAAATTTTCAATTCGATATGTGATTTACGTCGTAACAATTCTGATCTCGAAATTTTGATTCCGTATTGGTTTCGATACATCGGGATAAATGCATACATACCTAACTTACACTTTAACATGTAACAAAATCCTTTGTTATTGAAAAGTTAGAAGTGCAATTAAATAAAGAAAAATAAAAGGCTAAAAATGAATAATAAAATTTTAAAAATGCTTATAAAGCTTAATTTATATTTCACGAAGTAAAAATGCTTGTTAATACTTGAATAAAAATATAATATACACATAAATGAACCATATTTTTATGTTTAACTAAATATATAGAAGATTATTATATTTATAATACTCCTAGAACCTCAAAATGAAACTTGTTTTTATTATTCAAATCACATGTCGCTAACTCTATTTTCGTTATACATTTTCACCGATCATTTGATAAAATTAAATGACTGTGTCACTACTTATTTTGTAGAACTTGCAATGTAGTTTTTTAATATATAATTTTTATCTTTTAATCTTATGAAAAATTTACCTAAATATGACTAAAACATAATGACTTTCCCAATATAGGACCATATGTTTTTATTACTCAATGTAGGAACTTTGGTCATTATCATTTAGTCATTATTCAAGTAAATGTCCATCATTATTGGACATTATTCCTCCAACTAGACATTATTATGTCCTATTTACAGAATAAAAAAGTTTATATCCAATATTGAGAAATGACTTATATTTTAGTCTTATTTAGTGCAAATTTTACTTATTTATATTGATTTGAAAATAGGGAGAACTCTTACATAGAACTAAGAAACTATAAAAATACCAAAATAAGAGACATATGTCTTAGTTTAGTTCACAATGCCATTATTACACTGACACACCACTTCATTGTCAAATTGTTACTACACAGTGAGAGTTGACTGACTGTCATCACTTTTCCATTAAACTTCAAATGAGTACTCTTACACCACACTGTTATTATATTTCTATTTTGACCGTCTATTTTAATATTTTCAAATTGTTTACCCCTAACCATATACTTGTATATTACATTTGAAAATAACTTGTGCCAAACATTATAAATTTCTTTACCCGCACAATTGGGGAATGGGAAGTTACCCAACTAACTGTCATCGTCATGTTTGGGTGGAAAAGTCTTCTTATGTTGAGTCGCTGAGCAGCTATGAGAAGTAGTGCTATGAATAGGAACAGGGCTCATCAAACTAGTAGGAATATCGACATCTTAATTTTTAAAAAGAATAAAATACTCCCTCCGTCCACAAATAAACTTCTCGTTACGCGTTACGATATTTGACTAAAGTTATTTTCAAATCATTTTATATGAAAAGTAATGTAAAATTTAAAAAAAAAATTACATACTCCCTCCATTTTATAAAAGTGTTCCTATTTTGACTTTGTGTAAAAAATAAGAAAGTGTTAAATTGTACTCCCTCCGTTCTAAAACTTTCTTCACAGAGCACTATTTCAACTTCACGGGAATTTATATTTATTTGTGTTTTTTCATGGCCTGTATGATAAAATAAAATATTCTTGTTACCACTTGTTTTGTTAAACTTTTGATGTAGTTTTTAAATATGTATGTTTTATTTTTTATTTCTATACTAATATTTAAATAAAATAGATTGAAAAAACTTGGGATTTTTCTTCGTTTTGCGCAACGGGAAGAAAGTTTTAGGACGGAGGGAGTAGTTGACTTCTAATTTTGTGATGGATTGAGTATTAGAGAAAAAGTATGATGTGATAGGTAGGGTATAAAAAAGTAAGGATAAAAGTGGTTTTTTAATAGAAAGTGGAAATGTTTTGTTGGAAGTAAAAAAGATGAAAGATGAAGGGGCTGTTTGTTTCAGCCTCTTAATGATTCAGATGTCTGAATGGTTCAGCACTTAATGGTTCAGACTGTTTGTTTCAGCCTCTTAATGGTTCAGATGTCTGAATGGTTAAGAGATTTGCCTCTGAATGGTTAAGTATTATACAAAGTCTGAATGGTTAAGACCTCTTATCAGAATTGATCAGACAATTGCCTCTGAATAGTTAAGCAATATACTAGCTCTTAATGGTTCAGACCTCTTACTGGTTCAGCACTTAATGGTTCAGACCTCTTACTGGTTCAGCACTTACCAATTCAGAAGTTGCCAAACAGCCCCGAAGAGTTTTTTAGAACGGAAGGAGTATTAAAAAACTATATCAAAAGATCTACAAGACGACTAGAAGTGACATGACTATATTATTTCATCAAATGGGTAACAAAAATGGGCTAACAAAGTGAATGAAGTTTGACCCTGTGAATATTGAACTGAAAGTTTATTTGTGAAAAGTAAATTACATACCTCCGTGATCATAGATAAACCAGAGTCCCTTGGTTCAACATAGAACCTTTCTTTTAATTACTCGAGGGGAAAAAAAAGAAAAAGAAAAGCAGCTATTATAGTTTATAATAAAGAGATTTGGACAGAGGAACATAAGATCATGCAAAAGTGTTTGAGAGGAACTTGGTTGTCATCCCCCACAAGTTGCGGACCATGGGAGACAAGAAAAGAGCAACCTTTGGCAGGGCCGGGTAGGAGAGGGTGCCGAGTACGAACCAGTTGAAGCTGAGGAGAGCCACCGCCTCGGACGCCGGGTTGTTCTTGATGGCGAGCAAGAACCGGACGACGCTGCTCAAAGACATGGCCGCCACCGCGAAGAGGGCCCCCACTAGCGGCACGCACGGGTCCTCCGCCGCCCACACCGTGGTCCCCACCACCACCGACAACGCCGCGCTGAAGAGGCTCCTCATCAGCGCGGCTTTTCTTATTCTTTGCTGGTGGTGGTGGTGCTGCTGGAGGAGGAGGATTTGGGCCGGTTCGTGCAACGTTGTTGTGGGGCCCAATGGCTCAGGAAGTCGTGTCATTTTACGCCCGCTTGAGGTCGTCAAGAACGACGGTTCCGTTGGACCCCAACCGGCTTTGCCCCGAATCTCCTTGAGCCGTTGGTTTTCTCCCTTCAGACCCCGAACCTATAAGTGTAAAAAATAAAATAATTTAATGGGAGTTTTGTCCCACCGGAAAAAGAACAAAAAGAAACACATGCTCCTTCCGTCCCTAATTAGATTACAATATTTCCTCTTATTTTTGTCCAAAAAGAATTATAAAATATTTACTTTTACACTATATGGACTCTTTTATCCTCCCTCTCCTTTATCATTTCAATGTCAAAATCTTACCCACCCACCCATTCTTGTACTATTTAGGGGGTAATTTGGGAGAAAAAATACTGATTTGTCTCTTTCTTAATTTTGTCTAAAAGGGAATATTGTAATCTAAAAGGGGACGGTTCTCTTACTGAGAATAGGAATTAAGATTGAAAATCTATGGACTTGTCTGTTGGGCCGGCCTATTGTGCAGATGCAGTATAATAGTGATGCAAGAATGACGAGATGGAGGATTGAGGAAGCACAAACCTCGTCCTCGAGCTGTTCGATTCTGACAACTGCCTTATTGTATTCGTTTTCAAGTTCATTTAACATCAAAGCCGTCATTTTGTGTTCTTTGATGGCCATGTTCAATTGTTTCTCCATTCCCTTATTCTCCCACTTCACCATCTCCAACTCCATCTCCATTTCTTGGAAACGCATCTCATGCTTCAAACACATATCATAATGCTATTTGTTAGCATAGAACGTAAAAACATAACATAGGCTTAGTTGAGTTGGTTTTTTGTCATGGTATAAGGGATTCTTGTAGACCAGAAAATCACAAGTACATAGTTGCTATGGGTTCGAGCTTTTGGTTGAATTGCTTCCTTGACAATTCTTACATTGAAAACACAATGTAATAAAAATTTGGCTACTCCTAAATGCTCGCTAATAGTGAATAAACATGACATTATGCAGTAAGGCCCACTCACCAGCCCTTCGTTTTGGAGGGCGTTTATTGCGCGCAAGGGAAGCGTCACAGTGGCTAGTGCCAGAGAAGCGAGTTTCCGGAAGATGCTGACGTGGAGGGCGATGGAATTTCTGAGGAGCTCGACGCAGGTTAGGACGACAATGCAACAGTTTCTCCCACATAGTTTGATCAGATGACAAGGCGTCACCAGCAACAACACCACACTTGCAAACAGTTGTATTAACCAATCCATCTACCTCTACTCCTATTGTCACTGCCGATTTATCTCATTCGCCTCGAAATGTTTTTCACCTTTTCCACCTACATATACACAAGTGAAATTTATTCGTATACTCACATTTCACAACATTTTTTAGCATTATGCTTTGAGTTATATTTTGGCATAACAACAACATTGAGTTAAAGTCCTAAATTTGGTAAATGAAGACGTTTTAGTTAGATACTTCTCCCATATATATAGGGTTCTACCTAAAGTATGTACTTTTTGCAACATTTCTTTAAGACTTTGAATTGGAGAAAAGGAAATTTACCTAAGTGGTACTAAAATATAGCGATTTTCTCAATGTAGTACCATATGTTTTTATTTCTGAATGTGGTACCACTGGTCATTGTCCATTGGTCATTGTTCAAGTAAATGTCGAGCGTGACATTGTTCAAACTAAATATTCACCATCATTGGACATTATTCCTACCACTAGACATTATTCAAGTATATATAGTGAATAAACTTGGGGGTGCAATTAAAGGGGGTGGGGGTGTGTTCGGATTGGGTTGGGTGGGGGGTTTACAGTGGGGTTAGGGGGTTGGAACGGTCAATTTTATGAAATGAGCACCGGAGAACCCCGGGTCATCCCATGACATTGATCCCCAATGTCATGGGAATCAGGAGTTTTAAAATTTGTAAATTTTATTTTTAATTTCACGTCAAATACATTGAATTAAAAATAATTTGAGTTAAATACTACTCCCTCCGTCCCAAAAAGTCTTTCCTGTTTCATTTTTTGCGCATCTCATAAAACACTTCTATCCCGCCTTGAATGCCAAAAAAACTTTCAAATTAACTTCTATCTATAATAAAGAAGAAATGTCGTAAATTTTAGGCATTTTAGATGTCGGTAGAAGTGTTTTATGAAATGCGCAAAAAATGAAACAGGAAAGACTTTTTGGGACGGAGGGAGTATAAATAACAATACACAATTTAAATTAGAACGAGAGGGATTTAAAGAGGCTACACTCACATTCTGACTTGGAAGTGTCAACAATAGATAAGGAAAAATATGAGTGATCTCACATTTCTCATCTCTTATACATATATAGACACATTTACCATCTCTGTTGGAATGTGTGGTATATATGAGAAATAATTTAAAACCCCATGCATTCTTGATCTGCAGAGCAGAGTTCTAACACTTCTAATCCTGGGATTCAGAGTATCAGTTTGTGTAAATGGTGCACCAGAAATTCAAAAAAGAGTGGCAATAATGTAAATTAAAGGTGACCCGAAAAAAAAGAAAAGAAACGTTGAATAGATAGATCAGAGAATAATAATCATAAGAAAATATAAAGAAGGTAAGAAGCATAAAGCTTAAGGAGAAAAATAATAAAGAGAGGGGAGTGTTTTTTTTTTTACCTCACCCTGCAAAATGGAATTGGGAAGGAAATGCAGATAGCTGACAAGTGCTGTTGTGAAGAAGAAGAAGAAGAAGAAGAAGAAGAAGAAGAGTGAAGAAGAAGAAGCAGAAGAGAAAGAGAGAGAGAGAGAAGTAAATTAGTGTGAGTGGAAGAAGTGTTGGCAATACATCAAATCGACACGATAACATGGAAGGGGACACGTGTTTCAATTCAGAGTTTTCGATATTCAACACTAGTGTGAGTGAGTGAGTCAACCCCACAAACCCCGTTTTTTATCCATTCAAGCACTCTTTCTCACCCTCTACAATGCCTTTCTTTAATTATAAATAGGACCATGCTACATTTACACCAAAAAATATACCCCATTTGTACACCACAGGTTTGCACAAACAATTCGATGGTTTACACTGACACAAATGTTGGTGCGTTAATAAAAATTCACACAGACACATATGTTGGTACGTTTAACAAAAATTAGTTTTGCACCAACACAAAGTGTTGGTGCAAAACTGCGGGGTACAAATTGGGGTATAAACCTTGGGGTACACATAGCATAATCCTTATAAATACTACGCCGCCCAGTTGGGCATCACGCAGTTGATAAAGATAACGAGTTCTAAGGGTCAAGTTTGATTCCTAAGATTTATGTCGGGAGGCAACTATATATATTAAGCAGCCTCTGTAAGTACTTGGTGCATGCTTCATTCTTTTACATCAATCTGCGATCAAAGTTTAATTCACATCCTATTAGTCGTCGTCATACCGAGTCTGAGGGGGCCCTTGGGAATTCGGCTCAACCTTTAATTATAAATTAAATACTACTCCCTACATCTTAAAATGTTCTTCTCGTTTCTGTGTATGAGGTTTGACCGACTTTATTTTTCAATTCAATTTATTTGATTATAGATGTAAAATTTAAAATTTTAAATTTATATATTTTAAAACTATATCAAAAGTTCAAACAAGAGGTAACAAGACTATGTTATTTTATCATATAACTAACAAAAATAGACAAAAAAAAGTGATTAAAATTTGACCGTGTGAATTATCAAACTCGCAAACCACGTTTTTACTTTTTTTTAATGTTGGGTTTGATTCATGACCTCACTCTTTCTCACCATCATGAGTCTTCAATGTCTTTCTTTAGTTATACTCTCTCCTCCCAAATTTAATTATACTTCCTCTTTAAGATTTTATCTCGTAAATCTTAATTTAGAAAGAAAGAAGTAAATATTCCACAATCCTTTTTTGAGTACTTGTCTTTTGAATTCCTACTAAAAATTGTACTCTCTCCCTTAAAATACTTCTATCTTCATTTTTTCATACTCTATCCGTCCCAAATTATTTGCAACGTTTGTTTTTTCAGCAATCGCGTGTATTTTTGTTTATTTCTATGTTTTCATTGGTTATTTGATAAAATAAAATATTCTTGATACATCTTATTTCGAAGAACTTTTCATGTAGTTTTTTGATATGTAAATTTTATTTTTTATTTCTATACCAATATGTAAATAAAATAAATTGAAAAAACTTGATATTTTGCCTCGGGATTACAAGTGTGGCAAATATTTAAGGACGGAGGAAGTATATCATAAAATACTTGAGTAATTTTAAGAATGGTACATGAATTTTCACGAAAACTTTGATTTGATATCTGAATTTCAAAATGTCTCACAAAAGTACTTGAACTTTTATTTCACTTATAATCAATCTGCCCAGTACGAGGTGACTAACAAGACACTTTTGGCCAAATTGTAAAAATCGAATTTTATATTTTTTCACAATTGCTCACATTTCTTCTTTTTTTCTTCCTTACACACCATAATTTATATTCCTTTCATTCTCAACCCACACTCCTTTCTTTCTCTCCTTGTTCTTTCTTTTTCTCCTCAGTTCTTCTAGTTTTTGTTTTTTCTTTCTTTTCCTTTTTTTATTTGCAATTTTTTCCCTCTTTACTTTTGCTTCTTTTTTTCTTTTGATCCTTTTTTAACCCTTAATTTATTTTTTATTCATTTTCATTTTTATCATTTCTTTCCTTTTTCTTTAAACTTTCTTCATTTTGCTTTTTTTTTCTTTTTTATTTTTTTCACTATTTTAATTTTCTCTATTTGGTTCGGTTCTCTATTTTATTTAGTTCCTTTTGAAAATTTTTACATATTCTTTATTTCTTTTTTGGATTTTCTCAATCCTTACTTTTTTTCTTTGTTTTGTTTTCTTTTTTGTTTTTCTTTCTTTTTTACAACTCGTGCCTAAGTTTGGCACAGACTCAAAATCCGTGCCATGAACTTTAGAGCCTCGAAATTGGCAGCACTCTTTATCCATGCCAAGATCCGTGTCTAAACGTTTTGTCACGGGAAATTAAAACTACTGTCTGTGCCAAAAATAGCGCCAAAACCGAGATTTTTAGTACTCGTTGATCATTTGGTCGAATCCTAGTAGCGGCAGTGTGAGAGTTCTATTATTTGTAACAGCTCTTCGTGCGCACCGGGCACAAGACAGCCTCTCTAAGGATCAGATTGATATTATACCATAATTTACTCCATTCACAATTTCTGTCGGGTCGGAGTGTGGGGCACCTAGGGTGGGTGTTCCACACTTCCACCTTTACACCTTCCACTGGAGTGCGTCACCACCTCCTTCAACCCCTCCCACACCGCAATAGTAGTGAGTAGTGACTGGGTGTTGCCCTTTCCTCTGTGATGGACATTGAGCCGTGACATTAATTTTTTTTAATTTCAACCAATCAAAATAATTCATATGACGTTATCTCTTTCAAGCCACATACTTACTTGCTCCGTCCAAATTTTGTTTTTCTGTTTATTTTTCCGTTTATCAAAATAGGTTTCTAATTTTGACCATAAAATATGAAAAAAATTATGTTGAGTCATTTTGAAATAAAATTTTAAAAATATCATATTTTTATATATAAATTACAATATTAATGGTCAAATAAGTGTATTAAGGACCGGTAAAATGAAAACTTTTAGATTCGGCCACAAATTGACAAATTTTGAGAAATTGAATGAGAAAGAAACACAAAGGTATATTTGGATTTTGGGCTCATTTACAACAAAAAAAAAGGAAAAAAAATTGCAGGCTACCTAGCTTTGGTGGCGCAGTTGGGGTATACGGCGGTTCCGTTGACCGGAAGTTTGAGGCGGCAGTCGAGGCGCATCCAGAATTTGACCGAACCCACCACCCAAATGCTCCACCGCGTCCTCGTCGTCCCCTTCAGCTCAAACATCACCGCGCTCCCCTTCAGCCCTTCCGCCACCCTCTCCCCTTCCTCCGGCGTCAGCGGGATCGGCGACGACTCCACCAGGTAATCCAGCTCCCTCGTGCTGTTCCTCGCCACCGCGAACGGGGCGGCGTTCAGGTACGCCACCCTCACCCCGTGGAAGCTCAGCCCGAAGCTGGTGTGGTAGAAGTAGGCCCGCGCCTTGGCGTTGTCGTTCTCCGCCTTGATCACCACCGAGATCCGCAGGCTGAGGTGCCCGACCATGTCGTACGACAGCTCCTCGATGCGGGCCCGCTCCACGATCATCTGCGGGACCTTCGGCCGGGCCACCATGTAGCCTACGAACACCACGATCCCGGCAAGGATCACGGCCACCGTCACGACGGTGCAGAATATGGCCAAGCACCACACCACGGGACTGGTGTGCTGCTGCCCCCGGGTTGTCACCGCCCCCGGCCATGGTTTTTTCATCTCTCTTCTCCTCCGCCGGCCGCCGGCAGATTAATATATATCTAGCGACGTCGGAGATATGATGATGATGATGATGATGATGATGATGATGATGATGATGATGATGATGATGATGATAATAATAAAGAGAACAAATTAATTATGAAGAAGCTAATAATAAGATAATGGAATTAGGTACTTGGCTGCATTGGTGGGAAAGGTACAATATATTGTCGATCTTGCCGAATTAAATGAGTACTCAATACTTAAAATAAATCAATAAAATCATCTCCTCTAAGCTTTTTCTATGAATCAATGAATCTCTAATAGTACGTAATTAAAACTTTTATGGTTAGATCAATTATAGATTACTCACCGCACCCCCAACAAGGAGGACAATCTGGAGTTTAGAGCTATTGAAAACCCAACCGAGTTCTTCATCTATTTTTATTTTTAAAATACTCTTTTTTTTCTTTAATTTCTTCTTTTAATGATTTTTTGATAATTTAACATAGAGATACTTTTGTGTTAATTTTCTAAAAAAAACTTTTGATGTGATGAGTAAAAAGTAGGTGTGATAGATATATTATTAATAAAAAAAGTTATTCTTTGATATGTAGGATAAGAATCAAAGGGGACAAAAGTAGGTTCTTAATAAAAGAAGAGGAAGGAGTTTGTGGGACAAGGAAAAAGGGAAAAGAGTTTAAGGGATGGAGGAAGTATTAAATACTCTACAAGATTAATTTATTCATTTTCTCCAAAATATATCCAATTACAAGGTCAAAGTCATGAAAAATTTTTGGAGAAATTTTAATCAAATAACTACATTATTACAAATTCATTAATTTTTTTTCTAAGGGTCTGTTTGCTAGACGGAATTGATGAAATTGAAATTGAATTGGGAGTTGATCAAAAATCTATTGAATTGATTTAGATGGAATTGAGTCATCTAATTCCAATTCATTTTTCCCACTCTCAATTCTAAATTCACATATTATTGTGCTAACAAGAAAGAAAAATGCTTATCTTTTGTTTATATGTAGGTCCATGATGAACCTTAATTACGGTCCGCCATAAAATTTATCCTCCTATGCAGACATAAGATCCATGTGTCTTGAACATACAAATTAAAGTTTACATTCGGGTAGGCAAAAATATCAACCCGACCACATTGTTTCAAATCAAACTGATACTGCTCCAAACTGAAAAACTTGTTTATAAATTGTCCTAGTAAATTATTTATCCCGTACCAGATGGGACCATTTTCAAAATTGTACTGGTCGGGTTCCCAAAAAAATAGAAATAAAAAATACTCCGTAGCATACTCACCATTACCTCTAAAATGTTACTCGAGTAAATCAATAAATTAATTATACATTTCATTTGTTATTCCATATTTCTTTAGTAAGTTTAATTTATATTTTTTTGGTGTTATTTAACAAATTTAAATTTATGTTTTAGGGTACAACTCAAATAATAATTTTTTTAATTGAAAAATCAAATTACAATTATATTTGGTCAAAAGTCGTAACTAAACAATAATGCACTTGATGAAAAAGAATGCATAAAAATATTAGTGCGCTACCTCTTTTAGTTACAAAAAAAATTGTTTTTGTGAATAAAAATATTTTCAAAGCATCCAATTGTTATGATACGATTTAACATAAATATGTCATGATATCATCCTATATTTTGAAGGATATGATAACGAATCCATACTTTATTTTAAAAGATATGGAGTCAACATATGATTTTCCCGCCCATGCGTTATGATAATTACAAATGGAAATTGTTAACTTAAAATGGTAAGTGACCTTAATTATAGTAATAATTACCATAAAGTATGGAGAACGTGATTGAACTAAAAAATAAAATGATGTTATTAAAATAGTAAGTTCAATCACACATGGCGTAGTGATAGCTAGGCTTATGTAAGTTGTTTTTACACGCAAATGACACAATGCCTTTGTGAACGTGATATTATTAATCTAAAAAATTATTATTATTATTAATCTAAAAAAATGGTTTAAAAACTACAAATACAGTTCCTTTTTTATCACACGATATTAATCATAATAATTAAAGAAAGGTAAGTTAAAATTGCAGAAAGGTAAGTTAACCATTGTGGATTTATAATGGTAAGTGGCCAAAATTGTAAAGTTATAGTTATTATATTTATAATAATTAACATATTGAAAATTAGAAATAATTAAAAAAGGTAAGTAATAAGATTGCAAAGCACTTTAAAAAATGTTGATGAGAGGTCAAGACTATTGATGTTGAAACTAAGAGCGGTAAAAATTTAATAACAACGAAACAGTAAGGTAGAAAGGGAAATATGTTTCAATTTTTATTTAAATGCTATGCCAATGAATGGTAAGTGATAAGTCGGAATATGTTTCTATTTTTATTAAAAAAATTATGTTTTTGTATGAGCATTAAAAATGTTTTTAATTTTATTGAAATACATTAATATGTTTTATTTTTAATAACATCGGAAACAGTAATTCGAAAAGGTGAATATGTTTTTGTTTTTATTTAAATGCTACGCCAGTTAAGGGTAAGTGCTGCTATGGTAATTTTGAATTCTATTAATTAATAATTATATGGTAAAGGGGAATATGTTTCTATTTTTATTAAAAAATTACTGTTTTCATATGAGCATTAAAAAAAGTTTCCATATTTATTTAAAACTTATTACCATTTTTAAGTTTAAAATTTCGATTTATTTAAAAACTTTGTTTAAAATAGTTATAACCATTTTTTTCCAAGTTTAAAATTAATACTTATTACCATTTTGATCTAAGTGTAAAAATAATAATGTACACTTGGATTTTTTATTTTATTCCATGGGTAATGAAATATACTTGGAATAAAATTTCCAAAACATTAACTATTGTTGATAATATGAAAAAAATGAATAAAATAACAAAAAATGGAAGATCTCTATAAAAGTTCACTTTTATCGTTAAATGAAAAAAGTAATTACCCGAATAAAAGTCTCTTTATAATGTATTTAAATAGAATCATAAATTATGAATATGATGTATGAATAATTCTACTTTGAGAATCATGAATATTTTATTTTTATTTTTTAATATTTAGGGGAAATTGGATACATTGTACATTGTGGACAGATAATGTTTATCTGGTGATCGATGGTCTCAACAAAGTGGTATCACCGCCTCAAATTCCGATGATACAAATGGTGAAATCTAACATTAAAAAATATTGGACACATACATTTAATTGTCTAACGAGTTTTTTTATATTTTAAAACGAGTCTCGGTTACACAAATATTTAAAGGTCTAACGAGTGTAAGATAATTGTTTATTTTACTGAATAAAAAAAATTCTATTTTCATTGTCAATAAAAAAGGAGTAAAATGCCAACAAAAAAGACATAAAACAAAGACACTACAAGTATTGATTTCCGTAAAAACGAATCACTTCAAAAAAAATTAGTTTCTTTTTATAAATGCTCCTTTGTTTTTATGGAGTATATAGATCTCCACTTTATTAGCAATTTGACAAAATAAAAAAAACAACAGAATTAACTCTGAACAAATTTTTTAACTGGAGTTTTGATTAATGTTATTTATATTTTAGTCATGGACAAATGTATGTTGTAGCTTCAAGAGTAATAAATCATAATTACTTGAAGATTCTAATATGCAACAAAGACAATATTTTCACAAATTTATACGAGTAATGTGAATTATAAAATAGTCTTTCAAATATTGTAAATCATTTAACTTTTGTAACTTAAAAAAATGAAATCTCTATATTTCATTATATACTAATTTGTAACATTCAAAAATAATATTAATATAGTTTAGTAATTTAAATATGACCCGTGCAATGCACAAGTGTGATACTAGTAGGTTTAGATGTAAAATCGAATTTGTACCGAAATATTTGAACAATAACACTATGATAAGAATTCTATAAAAAATATTAAATCGTTACAAACCGTACTACCCCTAATTCTATATATCCTTTATATATAAATTTGAGACTTCAATATTTAATAACTTGACATGTGTCATATTAAAAAATTGACATGTGACATACTAAGAACCTGACATGTGGCATATAAAGTGGTAATTTAACCAAATTACTCTCTTCACTTATTTTACTTTTTTTACTCCTCAATTAAATTGTTACAGACCCTATCTACCCCTAATACGAAGTATTTATAAATAAGGTCTCGTTTTTTTCAGTTTATTTCTGCTACTTATTATTTATTGTTATCAGAATGAGATCAGATCACATCAGTTCAGATCAGATTCATTCAGTTCAGATAAGATCCATTTAGTTCAGAAAATTATTTGAAAAATAAATGATTAAAAAAATAAAAAAGTTACACTAATAAGAATGATGACAATAATAATTATCATTATTATTAACTAATAATAATTAATAATAATGATAATAAGGATTAATACTAATATGTATTTGTAAATAAAATAATAACGATAATCATTGTTAATTAATAATTCAGATCAAACTTATTTAGATTAGATTATATCAACCTCAAAATCTTTAGATAAGAACAAATGAGATTCTAAGAGCATTTCGAATGGGTATTGTAAATTTTGATAGTATATATTGTATTTTACACTACCAAATGCATGTGTTTTAGCAATCCATTTTTTCATAGCTACTTCAATCATATCTCTTAAATAACACACTTTTTTTATGTATATTTTTATTTTTAAAATATTTATTTGTAATAATATTTATATTTTTAAAATTTTTATGGTACATGCATTTCAAACTATACATGTATTGAGTATTTTTATAAGAAACATGAAATATAAATGTATTTTAATAAATATATAGAAAAAATGAATTTACAAGATGGGAAAAGCATGTAGTGTACTAATACAAGGTGAGACTTGCTTTATACTACCTCTGTCCCTGAGTAGTTGTCCAGTTTTGATTTTTTTGGTCAATTATTTTCAACCTTTAACCTATAATTAAATAAAATATATATTGTATTTTAATTAAATAAAATAATATTTTGAAAATACTTGATATAATAAATCTAATAAAACTTTTTTTAATCAATATCTAATATCATTATTATTTAATTTGAGGTCAAACTGTTTTTTAATTTGGAAAAATTACCTAAAATAATCCTAACTTTACCCGGTCTTTCAAAAATAATCACAACTTTCACTGTGATGCATAATAATCCCAACTTTACTGAAATTTGTCAGTTTTGGGTCACCGTTAAGTTTCTAACGGAGGGTTAACGGAAATGCCCATTTTAGGCAACAAAATGAAAGTTGGGATTATTTTTGATGAATTTTCATTTTTTTTATTTTTTTTAAATTTTTCATTTAAATTTGTTAAATTACTTTCTACCTCCATCATCATTTCTTTTTCCTTTTTTAAAGATTAGTCATAGTTTAAAAAATAAAAATAATAGGTATAAAAAATGAAAAAATGAGAAATGTAACTAAAATGATACAAAAATAATAAAACAAATAAGGTAATCAATGGAAACTAACTTGAAATTGGTAAAAGTAAAATAAAAATATACGGGTAGGTTTTAATATTTTACGCATTATACAAAGTATTAACATATCACTTCTTATTTTTTAGAAAAAATTATCTAAAATAATTCCAACTTTACCGGACGGCTTGTTCTTCTAAAAACTAAGTACTCCCTCTGTCCCGCTATATTCGTCCACTTTTGACTTTTGGAACTGTTCATTTAAGCACTTTGACTCATCAAATTCTCTCAATGTGTAAGCCTAAATATAGTCATGTGTGATTTTGTTTGATTTGTCTTAGCATATAGATTATTAATATATAATTTCTATAATTATTTAATATACAAGTTACAAGATAAAATGGATTAAAGAAGTGTATTGCATGGTGTGTAAAAATGAAAGTAGACAAATACTCTGGGACGGAAGAAGTAGTACATTAAGACTCCGTATAATGTGTAAAATGTTAAAACCCACCACTCCGTATATATTTATTTTATTTCTTACCAGTTTCTGTTTAATTTCTATTGATTACATTATTTATTTGATTAATTTTGTATGGTTTTAGTTATTTTTCTTATTTTCATTATTTTTTATATCTATTTTTTTTAAGGTAAGAATAATCTTTAAAAAAGAAAAAGAAATTGAGGTTGAAAGTAATTCAAAAATTTTAAATAAAAATTTCAAAAAAAATTAAAAAACAAAAATTCATCAAAAATAATCCCAACTTTCATTTTGTTGCCTAAAACGGGCATTTCCGTTAACCCTCCGTTAGAAACTTAACGGCGACCCAAAACTGGCAAATTTCAATAAAATTGGGATTATTATGCATGACAGTGAAAGGTGGGATTATTTTTGAAAGACCGGGTAAAGTTGGGATTATTTTGAGTAATTTTTCCTTTTAATTTTGATCAAAAAAGTAAAAAATGAACAAATATTTAAGGAGGGAGCAAGTACAATATAATCTTAATTTTGCCCACAATTTTGCGCTGCTCAGACGACCACCCTAATTCCGTTACTCGTTTTGGTGGTTCTTCCCATTCCCGCCAGTGCTCTCCTCTCAGAACAGAGACAATGGACGACAGAGGGGGGAATCCATTGATGAGACAGACGGGAATGAAGAGGTCCTTCAGATTCGGAATCCATGCTTCGCTCACTGCTTGCTCCCAGGAGGTATGGAGAAGACCTAGCATGGCGTCTGTGATAATTTTTTTGATTCCAGCTTCTTATTTGGGTCTTTTGTTACAGGACTTTCGCAAAGCTTTCGCGAAGTTCACCCCTACGGAGCAAGAACACCTCCATCGGTTCTTCACGGAGGTATTTTGTTATACCTTCTTTCTCCTTTTTTGAGACATTTATTTTGAAATTGTGAGGACATTGAAATGTCACCCAGAAATTGCTGTGATCCTGAAAATCTTATACATCCAGAAGAAAATTAGCACTTTTTTTTAATCTTTCAAACTAGTCTAGAAACGAGGGTTTTAGCACTTGTTTAACTTTTGTTGTTAATTTAATGCTTTGTTTATAGTAAGCTGTGGAATTATATTTGGAGTACTCATAAAATAGAATTACCAAACATATTGATGACAATGGAGGAGAAGCCAATTATAATTTGAGGGGTTGGGACAAGGAGAAAACAAAATTCGGACGGAGGGTTGAGCCCCTCAATGTTTTATTTTGTTGAAATTAAGGTTTATTTTGTTCACTTGTTTTCAGGTTGTTTCTTCTATGCAAAAAAGTATAGAGGTATGGCAAAGATCTTCCTCTCTATTCCGAAGTTTCTTACTTGCTTTGTAGGCTGTAAGATATTTGTGTGTGTGTGAGGCTGTGAGCGTGTGTATCTTATATGTTTAGTTTTTCTAATTATGATTACTATTGTTTTCTAGCTAAAGGTTTGTTCATTAACAGCTAATTAGTAAGAAAATATGCACTGAGGGATTGAAGGCTGAACTTAGGCCCTTATGAGTGTTCTTTGAACCATTTAGACACTTTGTTTTATCATATTCCAGCACGATGTGATGTTTTTGTTGGTTTCCTCCATAAATATCTTAGTTCATGCCCTTCATTTGTTGTTCCAACAAAAGTAAGAGGATATTGCCTCCATTAAAAGGTTTGCTCCATAATGCATTTGTTTTTATCAAACTTTGTCATTGTGCTTTCTATTGCTTATCGTTATAGGCCGGGTGATAGAACTTCTGTTGTCTAATAATTTCAAACAAACCTTGTATATTCCGCTCAAGAGTATGATATTGGAGGGCAAGATATTAACATACCTTACCTCTGAATCCTATGAAACTTAGAAGAATGCACAGATCTCCCATTACGAATAATTGCACATGCCCCAATATCTAGTGCTTGATGTTATTGTGTTTTTCACTGTTAAAATATACAACTTGTCCATGAAAGATAGATTTTACAATGTGTTCCTAAACTAATGTTCGGGGTCTAAGCAACATTATGAACATTATAATGTGTTCCTAATAATGCGTTCTTGATAACGTGTTCCTAAACTCATGGGAAGCCTTTCTCTTAGGAAATGCTTTATAAGGTATTGGGCTCTACCACCCTAATAGCACCATTGTAATGACCATGAGTACTCAGGGAACCACATCCTAAAAGCTAGCTATTTGGGTGGGAGAGTCCATAGCATTTTCAAGAGGAAGGATGTCCGATGTGGGGCTCATTCACTCATTACACATGATTACTTTCCCTAGTGGGCTTTTCATTTTCTTGGTTTATTTGTTTGTTGTTTGTGCTGGAACAACATTTCTTAGTTTCTAACAATATCAAGTACACATTGGTGTCCTAACTTCATCATGACTTTGCAGGACGAGTTTGAGGATATCTGCAGGGATGTAGAGGTATTTTTTGTAACTAACTAGTAACTTCTCATATTGATTTATTTGCACTATTGCTGCATTATAAAAACTCCATTTTAGAATACTAATTGGTAATTGCACATCATTGGTTCTTCACTTGTTCTTCACTCTCTCTGTTAAGGACGGTTACCAAGCCGTGATGGAAGATTCTATTTTGTCTTTCATTCTGTCTTCAATATTAGCATGGATGAAAGCTTAATGTTGTTGATTACTTGTTTCTTTACAGGTAGGAAAAGTTCTTGATACCGTGGAACTTCTTGTGGAAGAGCATCACCTGGACCCACTCTCTTCACAGAAGTAATTATCTTTATGTTATAATGTACTCCATATATGCTTATCGATCTAAATGGTAGCAAATTCTAGGGTGCACCTAAAATGACATAGACATTCCAACATAAACCACATATTTTTGAACTGGAGAATTGGTTTGTGTAAAAAGGCTCACATAGTCAAATGAATCCCATGGACCTAAGGCCCATGATGGAAGCACTCATTTATGGGTGATAATTTAGTTTTGATTGCAGACCAAAAAGAATATGAATTTGGCTTCCATATTTTGGATTCTTGTCACCAGACTCCAGTACTAGGTGTCAGTTACCAGTTTCCAATTATCAGTTTCCTTCTATATTTTTCTTTAGTTGTATAGTATATTTAAACTAGGTTCCAGTTATGAGTTACCAATTTCCAGAATCTTGTTACTAGTTTCCAGAGTCCACTTAGCCGACTCCACACTCTAGTTATCAGATTCCACTCTCGAGACACCGGAATCCAATTAAAAATAAGGCGAAAAGAACAACGCTTTACCCACTAAGAAATGGAGGTCTGTTATCTGTTTTCTATTGCATCAGCTGTTTAGGCAGGAAGCCTTTCTCTACAAAGGAATTCAAATTCTTTTAAAATGAGGAATTAATTTTCCAGACTCCTGATTATTTTGACCCTGCAGAGTTGCATTGGAGTAAAGTAAATATGGACCTATTTTCTACCTGTTATACTACTATTTCCCATTCAATTCCAGTGAATACACTAGAATTTGAGTTGCCAGTTGTCAGTTCATTTCATTCCCACCTATCAAACAAATAAAACTTGATATCATTCTTTTCCAGTGGAATTTGAGTTCTATCCCCTTGATAGTTCTTTCCATGCATCGAGCGCCCCATAAACATTAGTTATTTCCTAGCTCTTATTGGTGTTGAATGATGTCCTTGAAGGGAATGCCATCAACTAGAGGCTAGACTTAGAAGGATTGTCCTGCCAGATCTTCAGCCTTACGAATCTGATTATGGGTAGTTGTAACTTGTAAGGACTGACAGTGAGTGACAGGTGAAAGGATACAACATAAAATCATGAGGGTAGAATCACAGATAATATCTTCCACATTAGGCATCTCAATGTATGCAAATGTTGTATTGTTCTCTATTTCTCTTGGCAAACTCATTCTTGGATTGTTTTCTGTTGATACACGACTTAGGGGCTGTTTGTTTCAGCCTCTTAATGGTTCAGATGTCTGAATGGTTCAACACTTAATGGTTCACACTGTTTGTTTCAGCCTCTTAATGGTTCAGATGTCTGAATGGTTCAGAAATTTGCCTCTGAATGGTTAAGTATTATACAGAGTCTGAATGGTTAAGACCTCTTATCTGAATTGATCAGACATTTGCCTCTGAATAGTTAAGCAATATACTAGCTCTTAATGGTTCAGACCTCTTACTGGTTCAGCACTTATCTATTCAGAAGTTGCCAAACAGCCCATTACTCATTTAATGTGCGTTTCATATGAATGAATGACCTCATGGATTCCTGATGTCAGTATCTCCAAAATTTTATTGTCAGTTTTGAGCTATACTAATGTGGAAAATAATTACGTGAAGGGAAGAACAACTAGAAGTTTAGAACATGTTGCAAAAGGTAGTGATTCATCTCATGAAAGTAACATCATCATTTTTACAGGAGTGACATTAATGAAGCGTGGAAACATCTATTAGAAATAAAAAAGGCTGAGGTGAACCACTTGATGGGCATGGTGGAAAAGGTAAGTGTTGTGAGCTAATTAAAGCTTTTGGATGCTTTTACGAATAATCCTTTATTCGCAGTTTCATATGCCTTCTAATATGTTTCTTTGAAAATTTAACCACCCACACAAGCACGCAGTATAGTGGTCATGTGAATTTATTTCGTGCAAGCGTTTTACTATCATATGAAGAATTAAACCAATCAATTAAAGTAGTAATTAAACTAAGCAAGTTTACATTATTGATACTTATAAATGCTTTGTAAATTGAAAAGTACCCTATGAGAAAACCTATTGCAGCATTGCTTTGATGTGATGAAGTAACTTGGAAGCTATAAAATGTATTTTCGCCTCATGAGAAAAGAGTGGGTTTTGAACTGTTTTTAGATTGCATTAGCCTCTTTTGTTCAAACATGCATTACATATTTTGCATAGAACAGTTAAAATTTTATTTCAAACTATCATGAATTGTAAGAGTAATCTTTGCAGGCCGAAGAACAGAAGCGGCTTCTGAGTTCTCGTATTGAATCCTTAAAGAACGAAAGGACAGATGTTTCAGGTGCCACAGATTTTCTGGATAAGGTAATTTACTTTGTGAATTCTTTAATCCTTTCTTTCTAAAACAAAAATGATGACTACATTTTTCTGCAGTTAAGGACATTGAACAACAATGTACCACAGGCAATGAATCCTTGAGGTAATGTATGTATCACCAATACTTTTCATCTTGAAGCTTTTGCGGATGAAACCTAAAGCTATTTTTTGTTTCAACTTTTCTTCTTGAAGCTTTTGCATATTAACCCCATTTCAAACTGTTCTTTTCATAGAATTCATGTTTGAGTTGGGTCGCCAATCCGAAATAAGACTAATCTGAAACCTAATTGACCCAATTTCAGTTTGAACTGAAGTGATTCAAACCCAAAAGCAAAATTGACCCGAAATGTAATCGACCCCATTCAAACTTCAGCTTGAAATAAATTGAGTTGAATCCAACTCGAAATAGATTCCAACTTGGACCAATATAACTCAAACAAAAAATCACTCAAATTTGAACCAGCTTGAATCCAAGCTTGGCATGACTCGAGCCTTGGCCAAAGTGATTAGACCTACAAATACATTTACGTATTCCCTATATCGAAGTTCCAGGTTCATGCAACTTGACTCGAAAATGACAAGTTGGACAAATACACTGAGACGGAGGTTCGGTTCTACGGCCACTCAAAGAGAGTGGCCACAGATGACACTGTTTCAATTGGGACACCTAGGATAGTGCGTTTGCAAAATTGATAGTTCTACTTCTAACCCTCCGATAAATCTCTCCACCCAATTTCGACCCCAAGTCCCAACCCACCCCCCACCCACGTCAATTTCAAAGTGTAAGTTTAGTTAACTTTGAGATCAATTGTGTCATATTTTTGTCCATACTCCACAATAAATATTACAGAGTAATAATTATTTGGCTACTTGTGCTTAATTTCACCTACAATCTTTATGGTGTCTTGCATGTTTTATTTCGGTACGTAATTAGTGTCTCGACTTAGTTAAGGGAAAAAGACCAAAGTAGGACTAAAACATTGAAAATATACCAAAATAGGACTTTCATGTTTTTATTCCTGAAATAGGACTTACATTACCATACATGGTCATATACATTACCAAAAAAGTATAGTAATTTGCACATGTACACTGTCACATTACCATAATGCAAAATTCTATTCCAGAAAAAAAATATGAAAGTCTTATTTTGGTACTTTTCTCTATGTTTTAGTCCTATTTAGGTGATTTCTGCTTAGTTAATCATTCTTGATCCGGTCTAGACTCTAGAATAATAAGCCCGGTCAACTAATTTACACCATAAACAACATTACAAGAATAGTAGTAGGCATTTAATAAAAATCTAAGTTTGTGAAGTTCGTGACCATTCTAGTAGCAAGCTAACTCACAAACTTACTATTTGTGAACTTGAATAAAAAAATTAAATAGTGTAAAATAATTATAAACTGAAAATTCAAACTATAAATGCTAAGTTTGTGATCATTCTATTCGTGAACCTAGCATTGCTCTGCAAGTATTTATACTTCATGTCGTAAATATTAAAATATGATGCATGATATTAATTCTTCAAATCTTTTGCTCAATTTTTTATAGATATCCGAATAAACTATTTTAATGTTCAGTGAGTTTCTAGTAACACTGGAGTACAGTGACACTCCGGTGTCACGGTCATTTTGGGACACTTTTGGTGTTCTGTTTGCAAAATTAATGGTTCTTACCCCCTAAACTCCCTATCTCATCCCCACCTTTGCCCCCCTCCAAATGTGTAGCTATGCATAATAGCCACACATTTGGAGGGGGAGCTGGGGGCATGGTGGGGCTGAGGTAGGGGGTTTGTGGGGTGGTTAGGGAGAATAAGAACCATCAATTTTGTAAACGGAGCACCGGAAGTGCCCAAAAATGGGCGAGTGTCATTACCCCACCCTTTAATGTTAAGCATTTCTTGTTTCTACTCTCATGATTAACACCAAAAAAATAATACTCCGTCGGTAAACATACTACAACTTGGGACCCCTTTTGCGTTTTCAACAAATTATAATACGCAGTAATCATTAAGAAAAACAAATTATGCTTCCAACTGGAAAGCAGAGTCTGCTATCCATTGTGGGGAAAAATAGTTATTATTAATTATTAAAGGAGAAATCAAATGCTAACTGTGACTGGGTGCAAAAAGGATTAAAAGAAGTCATTGTTAATTCCCTGTTTGGATATTTTTGTAAGATGAAAAGAAAATAAGGCTGGAAAATTATTCTCTTCTTGTTTGGATATTTTAATGTGGAAGGCAAAATAAATCTATTTCACCCCTAATTAACTACTCTCTCCGTCCCAAATTACAGGGTCAAATTTCATTCACTTTCTTTCTCTATTTTCGTTAGCAATTTGATAAAATAAATTACTATTGTCACTACTAGTTTTGTAGACCTTTTGATGTAGTATTTTACTCCGTAATATGTAATTTTTATTTTTTAACTTTATGCCATTTGTAATGATTTGAAAATAATTTAAGTCAAACATCGTAAACCGAAATAGACATTATAAATTGGAACAGAGAGAGTATTAAAACTTTTATCCTCCCATTTTTGGAGGAAAAAAAATAAATGAATATCTTCCATCATGTCTCTTATATTTCTTCACCTTTCCAAACACTATCCATTCATCCCTGTATGTTTCACCTTTAATTTTCTTTCCATTATATTCCTTCTCCAATCTCCCGAACAAAGCATAAAGGAGAAATGGGATGTTTTTGTTAGAATATAAAGAAGAAATTGTGACTATTTAGTCGACAAGACTTAAATACTACTCCATACATCAAGAAAATAACTTAAACAAAACTTAAACCTAAGGCATGTTAAAATGTGATTGCTTTCATTTGATCTAAACTGATTATAATAAGCATAATTAACAAGTAGAAAAATTAAGTTGAACGGAACGCTTTTATGTTAAAGTGGGATTGTTACTATTAGAATATAAAAACTTTTATTGGGTCATAGATACAAACTTGAGCTTTTAGTTGACTTAATTCTTTGACATGATATTAGAATTTGGAGCCCTTGTTGTCTTGTTGACCAAGAAGTCACGAGTTCAAAACTAAGCGTCACCCAATTTTAAAAAATTAATGTTCATGTGCAAGGTGTGAGCAAAAAATAAATCTCGACTGCACGTGAGAAACGCGTTAGAATATTGAAACCTTTTCAGGGCCGCAAATACAAGTTTAAAATTTTGATTGAATCGGTTCCTCATCAGGTATGCAAAAAGGAAGAAATGTTCTTAGGCCATCAGGTGCGCAATGGGAAAGGGAAGGGGAAGGGCGACGTGGCAGCGGGGAGGGAAGCGGAACCACCCCCCATGCGGGACAGGGAAAGGCGAGTTCCCTTCCTTGTTTTCCCCGTCCGATATTTCTATATTTTTTGGTTTTCGTCTCCTTTTCTTCTTCCTTCTCTCCTTTTCTTTTTGTGTTGCTTCTTTTTTTTTGTGTTGCTTCTTTCTTCTATATTTTTGTTGCTTCTTTTCCCTTTTTTTAGTTTTTAATTGTTTTTCAGTTTTTTATTTTTAATCAAATTAAGTGTTAAAAAATAATATTTAAAATTAAAAAAGTAAATTTTTATTTTTTTATATTTTTAGATTTACTATTTAAATTAAAATAAGTGTTAGAAAATAATATAAAAAATTGAAGGGGAAAGGGAAAGACATTTCCCTGGAAGGCGAAAAAAAAGCTGAAACTGACGTGGCGCTGAATCGGAAGGTGCACCTCATGGCCTTATCTGTACAGCTTTGATGATAAGAGGTGTTGTTTGTTGTTATTACAAACTATACATTGCCTTGATAATAAAAAAATCCCTCAATTATCTTAATTTTAAATAGAGTGGTGTAATTAGTCACCACAATGACCACACAAACACACACATTACGTATACATCGTGGCTTTACATGTCATTTCATTTTCTAAATGACATTGTTAATACTCCTCACCTGATCAACTTATATCTATTTTACAACCTCCCTCACACAGGCCCGCCCATTAGGGTGTTCATCAGGTGCATTCACACGTAGCCCAGATTACGAGAGGACCCGTTTTTTAGGTTATTATTTCGTTGTCCGGCAACAAATTTTACGTTTTGATTATATACAAAAAATTCTAAAAACAATTTTAGAAAGTGTTGAAAGTTTTTCTAGTGTATTCAGTTTTTTCGGATCTTGTTTTATTCTATTCTCTGTTTTTTTTTAGTTTTTTTAGTTTTTTACAGTTTCTTCCAATTTTAAAAGACATGCTCTAATCGTACACTTTTAATATTGTTTGATTGCATTTTTGTATACATTAGTTAATACTCAATATATGTTTTGAAATGAAAACCTTTAAAAATAAAGAAATCGCTCAAAAAAAGAATTAAAACGTAGAGGATGTTCTAAAATAGGCGTTCCGTGTTTTTCACACTAAAATAGAATTTTGCATTGTTTGTTACAATGTGACATTGTATACTAGTATTTCACGGTGTCTTTTGGTACTTGGTATTGTAAATCTTATTTTGGGAATAAAAACATGGAATTCATATTTTGTTATTTTATACTATGTTTTACATCAAGTTTAGTTTTTTTCCTAAAAAATAAAAAGTAGTCTACTACATAATTACGTAAACTACCATATGTTCCAAAATAAGATCTACATTTTATTTTGCTTGGTCAAGTTTGTAGCTTTATTTGACTTTGATATTAGGAAAAAAATAAGTTGGTTAAAATAAAAATTTAATTTCAAAGTGTTATACTCCGTATTAAATTATCACATTTTATAACACTCGGATAATTTGCTGTGCAATAGAGGGCATGTTTTTGTTGAAAGTTTTCGTATTAAAATATGAAAGTTTGACAAATATATTCAGAATTTATATTCTGAAAGTTTTAAAAAATATATAATATTGTATAATTAAGTTTATATTTAGAATATATTCATTCAGATTTGTTTTCGAATTTGGATCCAAAAAAACTAAAGATGAATCACGAATCGAACAAAAAATATTCGGTTCATTTACAACCCTAGGTTTGGTCACATATGCACATGTTATAACAAGTCATGAGGCTGTTTCAAGTAGAATAATGAATACTTGAAATCATTTTGAAATAACTCATTGTTAGGATTATTTTAAGCGAATCGACAATAGTTTGCATTATTCTAATCAAATTTTCCTAATTTATATTTAATATTAGTATACTAAAATAATTTTGAAAGTTCTCAATAAAATAAATCTATTTTTTTTTTAAAACTGATGTACACTACATTTTTGTTTCATTAAAGCTTAAAATATATCTAGTTTGACTCAAAAAGTCAAATAAACAAAAACACTAAAATGCAAGGATTATATAATTTCATTGATCATTTAAAAATAATAAGATAACCATACCACCCATTGTTTAATCAATCCCTTAATATAGTTTTAAAATATAAAAAAGTATTTTTTATTTCTACACTATTTTCTAAATGAACTAGTGTAGAAAACCAAGAAAAATAAAGAAACTAAAAAGTGAAGGATCTAATTAAGAGTTATTAGCATAAAATATTACGGGTAAAATAGGACAAAACTCATTTATCAATCGGTATGAATGGAATAGTGAATGTAATGTTCTCTCCCAATAATTATGATGAAATTTAAGAACTTATTATATTTTTTAAATAAAAATATTGAAGAATTGTTTTAAGAAAACCTTTTTCATATATAAAAGTTTAATATCTTTAAGTTATTCTTATTGAAATCATATAGATCAAACTAGTCTAGAAACATTTTTAAATATAATTCTAATTAGATCAGACTAGATCATAACTTATTTCAATCTAATCAGAATAATCTGATTATGTGAAGTAAACAAGCCTTTAATAACTTTATGGCTTATAATACCATGGCTAGAAATAGAATCGGACCACACAATGTCCGTATATGGCCCATAGATATGGCATTCCCAAAAATATGAACCTCATCCCAAAGGCTAAGGAGAGCCGATCACATAGTCACATAAGAAGAGGGAAATTGAGTTTTAATCACAGATCAATGAAAAAAGGTAGAGTTAGCACCTAGTTTTACAGAGATTATATACTTAACATATTTGTCTCCTAACGCAGTTTTTCAGAATCAAATTTGAGTATTATTCTAGGGCATCTCTTGCATTGTCAACTGCACAAATTTCACGAGCAGCATTCACACATTTGGGAGAGAGATATATGTGTTGGTGGCGTTGGGCAATTGGTAAGATAATTTCTGATAATTGCGTTGGAAGGTAACAATGTTAAGCATAAAGTCTTTGCATCTGCTAAGTGCATGCTCTACTCTCTGTCACCAATTTGTGTTTAAAACCTAATTAACCTCCTCTTAGATGGATCGTCCGGTCGGTTTCAAAAGGCATTCAGGGATGAGTTCATAAGAAATAACCTTAAATAGGAGTACAACATAGAAAAAATATCAAAATAAGAGTTTCATGTTATTATCACCAAAATAGAAGTTTGTGTTGTTGTAATGTGACAATATGTATGGATACTCAACAGTATTTTTTGGTAACGTATATAGTCATGATTGACACTGTAAATATATTTTTACTCTTATTCAGAAATATAAATATAAAATTCTTATTTTAGTACTCCGGGTATATTTTAATATTTTGCTCTTACTTTAATATTTTGTTCTGGCTTCATCTTTTTTTGAGAGACATGTATGGTGACATAATAAAAGTGTAACGAGTGAGGGACAGCTAAGGGAGCAGCTGCTTTTGTTGGAAAATTGAATTGATTTGAGAAGGTCAAACACTATTGTAAGTAAAAACAAACAAATATGCAATAATGCAATGTCCCCTCCGGGGGCATTGCCCTTTGTTAATAATAATAATAATAATAATAATTAATGTCTACCGACTCTACCCCCAATTATACCAATTTCGTACGTACGTACTCCGTAATCCTTGACGGGTCCCGTCGCAATGTAAACCGTGGGCACCAGC